AAAGGTATCTTGACTTCAAAATTTGGTCTAAGGATGTGTTACTCTGGAAAAAAGGTTCTACTTTTGTTCCACAGAGGATGAGAACTTGTGGATTCCTTCCAGGCTAAAGTGCCTTGATGGAACAAGACCCCTGAAAGGTTTCTGTGAACTCCCCAAATACTTCACCAAAGAGAAAGCAGGAAGCAGTTTGGAGAGAACTACACCCAAATTCCCAAATATTGTTTATAAAAATTTGTTAACATTTAAAGGGGGATATACTATAGAGATGAATACTTGGTATTGGTATGGATCTTGGTTTACTGATAGAAATTTAAGGTCATTTTGTTATATGTATATTTCTGCTCTTGATTAAGGTATTGTGTTTGTGTGGCTCATTTAAAAATACAACGTATAATTAAGAAATACAGGTGAATAGAGAGAATCTACAACAGTCAAGTTTGTAGTCAGGTTAGTTAGGCTTTCTAGATGTACAGACATATATTTCAGATGGCTAGGTATTCTTCAAACCTTTCAAAGACTAATGGAATATGGCATTTAAAATGTTTAAAAACTTAGGACTTTTGTGACAATGAGACACATCTGCTCCTAGGAGCACAAATTACTTCAACAGGAAAATAGGCATCAAAGAGGTTCCTTATGGAGTTTCCTAGCCATTTGGGCTAGAAACTGCTCTTTTCCCAGACTGTTTGATGTTATTCTGTATGAACTGGACATGCAGGATACACAGAAAAATGACTCCTGAACTTGCCTAAAGGTGAGATGGTCCTTCAGGATTTCCTCCAGACATTCTGAAGGACACAGAAGAAAGTGACTGACAAACTTCCAATATAGGTGGAATTGTCTTTGAAATTTCCTGATTTATGGAAAAGTCTTCTGGATACTATGGGTCTGTAAGCTGAAGATGGATGTCACAATGGTACAGAACAACTTTGGGTGACTGTCCAGGCAATGAGATGTCTCTGTCAATTATAGAGTTTTGAAAGTTGCTTATAATGCACTTCCTATTAACTTAGGTAATATTATATCTTTCTGTAGTCTTTGATGCAGTTGAAGAATAGATAGTTATAGTTATAGTTTTTCTTAGATATGATAAAAGATAAAGTAGATATAAATATTGTGACTGTAATTCTTGCTTAATACCTGTTTTTTTATATGTAATTTTTACTATGTTAAAAGTTAAAAACTTCCTTTTTATTTGGACAGAAAAGGGGAAATGCTGTGGGAATTCCTTCTGTATAAGTGTTGCTTTTATTCATTAATGAATAAAGCTGTTCCTGCCAGTGGTTTAGCAGAATAGAGCAAGGTGGGAATTCTAAGCAGATATAGAAGGAAAGCAGGTGGAGTCAGAGAGAGTGTAGCCACCAAAGGATAAAGACATTCTCAGGAGCATGCTGGAACTTTGCCAGTAGGCCACAACCTCATGGTGATGTAAAGATTAATAGAGATGGGTGAATTTAAGATATAAGAGCTAGCTAGCAATATGCTTAAGTGATTGGCCAAGCTGTGTTTTAATTAATACAGTTTCTGTGTGATTGTTTTGGGTCTGGGAAGCCAGACACCAACAAGCCATCTCTGCCTACACTTTATAGGTCAGGCAAGCCTTGAACTGTGTTCCTTCTGCCTCAACTTCCTAAGTAACTGAAATTATAGCCAGTGCTATCAGCTGAGCTACTTTTGTTTCTTCTTATCTGTCCTATGCTCTGTCCTTTAAAGGTAGATTAGTAAAGTGGCTAATGTGGTTTAAATGAAAATATTCAATATGGACTCAAATGTTTGAATATTTGGTCCATGGTTGGTGATATTTTGGGAATGATTAAGATGTGTGGCATTACTGGAGGAAGTATTTCAAGGCATTATGGTTTCAAAGGTCATGTACCATTCATATCTCACTCTTCTTTCTGCTTGGGTTTCAGTATGTAAGTCCTCAGTCTTCTGCACCAGTTTTCCATGATGACCCACATGATAAACTTTTATCCTTCTGGATTAGAAGCCAAATAAATCCTTCATTCCATAAATTATAGGTACGGCGTTTTATTACAGTATTATAAAAGCAACTAAAGCAGTGCCCATACTTCTTTCATGGGTGCAAAAAAGCAAGCTTATAGAGGTTGTGAGAATCTTACGATAATTGTCTTGTGATAAATGGCACTGAGACTAGAGCCATGGCTTGTCATCTGTAGATATAAACTCCTTCCTAAATAGAACAGTTGTCTCTTTAAAAGAGACAATGATTATGAATGAGTCAGTGAGTTACAGTGCCTGAATACTCACTGCAGCAAACAGAATAGAAGTAAAACCCTCCAACAGTGACTTTGTATATATACTTAATAGACAATTGTTCAGCCATAAAACCAAGTGTAATCTTGTCATTGTGGAAATAGTTGAGTGAATTAGAGGCCATCATGTCAAATGATATAAGCTACATACAGACAAATGCTTCATGATCTCATTCATCCATAGCATCTAAGAAAAGGTGAGCTTAGAGACGTAAAGTGTTTAATCTATGGGATGATGGAAATACTGGTCAAAAAGTAGTATGAGATGAAGACATACTACTTGACCCTTTTAGCTAAAAGTAGCTGCCAGATTTTGCCTATTCTAACAAGTGCATAGAGGTTTGTGACACTCAATATAACTGATATAAATATAATCCTCTCACAAACCACTGGGAGATAAATCTGCCTGAGGAGTTATTAGTCATGCACTTATCTACCAACCCTTGTCTGAAGTCATGTAGATCTGAGGTAGATATGGGTCATTTCAAAACCTTCCCACATGCTACAGCTATTGTTGGACAACACACTACTGTAATGACATGACCTCTCCTGTCGCGTCCACCCTCGTCCAGCAAGGAAAAACGCAACACCCGGAGCTCTTCTTGCAGCAGTTTTCAGGACTTTATTCACAGTAATCTTTCTCCTTCTCTCTTTCCCTCTCTCTCTACCCTCTCTCTCTGGGCAAACCCTCTCCCAGCCCTTAAGTAGGCATGAGCTGCCAACTCGGAACTGCCAGGTGGGCACTGCCCATAGGCCCACGCATATGCAGGCAGCTGATAATCATTGCGTGATCATAGCAAGGTCAGGCCTTAGCCATCTCAGGAGTTGATTATACATCTCCATCAGGTGTGACACCACGCAGCTCGCTACACTCTCCATCTGGGTAAAATAGCCACTCTGACAGCTGTTAAAGTCCCAACTGTTTTATTATGCACAAAGACCCCACTATCAAAAAGTATCCCTTCAGGGAGGGAAGTAAATATAGTGATATTATTTTCACTTCTAGTATTGTTCAGTCAGTGAGTTACATTTTGTTGTTGTTGTTTTAATCCAAGACAGTCTTGCACAGGATAGTTTCAAACTTTTGATCCTCCTGCCTCAACCTCCTGTGCTGAGGTTATGAGTATGTGCCACATACACATCTTTTCATTCTTCAATTAAACTAGGTTAAGAACATTGCAACAATCAGTCATTGGTTACCCTTGATGATATAGACACAATATCTGGAGCCACAAGGAAACAGGGTTAAGACTCAGACAAG